GTATTATAGTATGCGACGTAGATTGGGTCATACCGAGGGAGCAGCTCCGGGGGGATGCTATTGTGAAGTGGCTGGATGATGGTGGGAACCCGGAAGCTATGCAAATCGGAATTACCAGCTGCTACACTTTGAAAGGCCATATTGGTCACAAAAAAATGCACACTGTCCGGTTCCTCTGATGGATAGAACGGGGGTACAGAAGAGAATTGTGGTTTGGAGCAAGCTATCGAAGTCCACGTAGTACAGATCGCGGGGCGTCATTTGGATACATACGTAATGTACCAACCTCGGTCTATATCCCCTAGGTAGAATGCACAGAATGTCATCGAATATCTTTTTTGGCACTGTACAAGCTGTGTGGTCTGTATAGAAAGTCCCCGAGTTCAAGCGTCTTTATCCTCATCGGCTGCACTTCAATATTTCTCAAAGGATGGATTGAAATAATAGCTCAAACGAAAACTGACAGGTTATGGCTAGCTCAAAGACTTTTGCTCTTAGTATGTTTGGTTTTATCCTGTTCAAGTACATTTGCTGGGTGTTCATCTTGATATAACCGAAGACAGATAGAACACACCATACAATAAAGGATTTAGCCGCGTCTAGGCTTTTCCACACCGGGGGTTTCATGGAAACGTTGAGAGTATGTATCTCGACGGTCAAAAAGAATAACAAAAACAAAACAAAACGTTTTATAAACGTTGTTGTAGAAGAAGTAAATAAGGATCGAAAGTAGATGGATGTATATCTCCGCCCACTATATATCGCTGCGCGCCCCTTCTAACTATTTCCCAACAACACGCCAGGAGCTATCATTAACCCCCCCCCCGAATGGAGTGCTACACAAGAAAATTTCATATTTATTCTCTTGAGTTTGCACCTGGGAAGTGCGTTTGTAATGTGTGTCAGCAGACCGTTGATGACATTCCATGCTGATGCTTAGAGTTTAGTCCTCCAAGATGAGGTCAACAACGTATCTCACGGCTGTTCTTCAACCAGCACACGGCCAAAACCAGATGGCTATTGACGGCTATCTCTGCCTTTGAATCAAGCGAAGATGAAGGTATCGCAAGTTGCGTTCATTCCAAGCACCCGTGGACCCCGGAGTCCGCTACTAAGCGGGACTTCCCGCGGGGCAAAAAGGCAGCGATATCGGGTTGACTCAGCGGGCGATTCCAAAAGTTTTGATCTTTACTTCCAAGGTTACTTATACTTGCCGGGGCCTCGCCACATCTTGCCTAAAAGTTATCCCAGGAACCCCAATTGCAGGTATACATCATAATGAGCAAAATCGATACCCGTCTTAACGTCTCCCCGGTGCCTCCGGACGAGATCTTCGCCCTGAACGGAGCCTACGCAGTCGATCCCCACCCGCAGAAAGTTAGCCTGGGCGTGGGTGTCTACCGGACAGATGATGGAAAGCCATGGCCCCTTCCCGTCGTGCAAAAGGCAGAGAAGGAGCTTGTGGTAGACGACGACCTCTTCCGCCACGAATACACTGCGATCGAGGGCGATGTGCCTTTCCTAGGAATTGCGCGGGACCTGATGTTCGGATTTGAGGGCAAGCAGGGCGAGGAAGAGGTTAAGGCACGCATTGGTACCGTGCAGACCGTCGCCGGCACCGGTGCCAACCATCTCGGCGCCCTGTTCCTTGCTCACCACATGAAGCCCCCCACCGTCTGGCTGTCCAACCCATCCTGGGCCAACCACCAGACCATTTGGGAGCTGGCCGGCGTCCCCCGCAAGACATACCCATATTACCATGCCGCAACCCGGTCCTTCGACTTCGAGGGCATGATGTCCTCCCTCGAGTCCGAGGCGCAGGAGGGCGATGTCGTGCTGCTGCACGCCTGCGCGCACAACCCAACCGGCCTGGATCCTAACAAGGAGCAGTGGGTTGCCATCGCTGACCTTTGTGAGCGCAAGAAACTCTTCCCCTTCTTCGACTCGGCCTACCAGGGCTTCGCCTCGGGTTCCGTTGAGGAGGACGCTTGGGCCGTCCGCTACTTCTTCAACAACAAGCCGGACATGGAGATGTGTGTGGCACAGAGCTTCTCCAAGAATTTCGGCCTGTACGGCCAGCGCGTTGGTGCGTTCCACTACTGTACCAACCGCGCCTCAACCTCCCTGCGCGATGTCGTTGTGAACAACCTATGCCACCTGATCCGCGGCGAGTTCTCTATGGGCCCGCGTGTTGGCTGCAGCATCGTCAAGAAGGTTCTTACCAGCGAGGAACTTACTGCCGACTGGCACCAGGACTTGCAGGTCATGAGCTCGCGCATCAAGACCATGCGTAAGGCTCTGTACAGTGAGCTGGTCCGTCTGCAGACCCCCGGCACTTGGGAGCACATCATCGAGCAGGTAAGCTATCTGGATTGTACTATAAGTTTAGCTTGCTTTGTGCTAATTCTTTTCTTAGAACGGCATGTTCTCTTACACTGGTCTTACCCCCAAGCAAGTCTACGCCTTGAAGGACAAATACCACATTTACCTACTTAAGTCAGGCCGAGCATCTATCAGCGGCCGTAAGAACCCCCAATCACGGATACTCATAGACCAAGCTGACGTGCGCACAGTGAGCCAAAAGAACGTCACATACGTCGCACAGGCGATTGACGATGTTATTCGCAACGAGAACTAAATTCCAAACGAGTCCGCACTGGATTTGTTTTGAATTTTAGTTTCGTTTAGTCTGCTTCGATATGCATTTTAGTCTCTCAAAAGAGAGCCGATTTTTCTTTTTTTTTCGGTCGGCTACATACTGACTTTGCATCTGGCGGGCCCATCTTATTTACGACGTTTGATGAGATAGAATTCCAATTTAGAGAACCATAGCCACGTGTGTGCAGTTTTGGTGTCCACCTACAATGTAATCATCTAGTTTCTACAGATCTACCTAGGTAAACCGGATCAATCGAGTCAGTCAACAAGGCTGCATTAGGAAAATTGCGTACTGTACATATAACAGCAAACAAGAGACACGAGAAAGAAAAAAGAGGAATCAAAGTCGGAGCACATTCGTAAGAATCCTATGGTTTTTCCGCCTAAGAAAGGAGACACGCCACTAACCACAACAAGGTAAAACTGTACTGATAAAGTCGTAGACGCTGGTCGACAATGGGGACAAAAACAGGGTAGGGATGTCAAGAGACTGACCGCGAAGCAAGGACAGACAGAATATATCATCAGAGGGCCAATCAGAGAGGCACTTCGTTGAAATCACCCTCACCCTCTTTGCCTTTGCCCTTTGGGCCTTCGAGGCTTTTTGACTCGGAGTCGTCCTCGGGCCTGTTCTGTGGAAGGGTTTGCTCTTTCTCAGTCTCTGCATCGCTCTCCTCTACAGCTTCGGCTTCAGGCTCCTCGTTCTTTGCCTCTGGAGAAGGTGCTACTTCTACCTCACCATTCCGAACAGGCTCATTTGCGTCTTCGGCTTCGTCTTTGGGCGGGGGCGGAGGAGGTGGGAGGTCATCACCTTCCCCATCTTGTGATCCAACTTCTTGTGTCTGCGTCTGCATCTGCGGTTGGCTACTCGTCTCACCCCCAGGGAATGGAGTCAGAGGAGGCTCCTCGGGCACCTGTTCTTGCGCAGGGCTCCGTTGGGGCTGAGTGCTGAGTCTTCCGTGGTTGGCACTTGTCGCAGTCGAAAGAGTAGAAGTAGTACGCTGGTGGGACGAGCCGTGGATCACGCCGAGTTGACGGGCCTTGGGGTCTGCGTTAAGATAGTAGCCGCGCACACCGGCAATAGTCCCCTCTGTCTCGCAGGCATCCACCCACTCCGGCACCACAACGGGAATGTTCATGTCTACAGCCTTCTCCCACTGCGCACCCCGTCCTTCCGTGCAGACGAAGTGAGTGGTGTCGATACGGACCGAGTCGATCATCTTGCCTCCAATGCGGTCCAATGCAGCACCAAGAGCCTCTTTCTGCTGCGGATCGAGAACGCCCGTTGTGACAGTGATACCGGACAGGTCGGTCATCTTGTGTGTGCGACACGTCAGCTTCTCCGACTGGTAGGTGCCAGCCGTAGTTCGCAGAACCAGATGGAAGGAGTACTCGGAGTGAATGGCCAGACCGCTGATTTTTGTGCTGCGTGTCTCGAGCGGGCGGGGTATGGAGCCAGCCTTTGAGCCATTGCGGTAGAGGGATAGTGATTTCAGGGATGCAGTGGCCAGGTCGATTGGGTCCCACTCGAGAACGAGCGAGGTCTGGGTTGCATTTCGCAGGCGCAAAACTGGTGGCGACGGGGCCTTAACACCGTAGGTATTTAAAATTCGCTTCTGAAGGGATTGAAAGGCAGATGCGCTCGCTGCTTCGGCGGCATGGTTGCGCGAAACGGTGATATCAACAATGCTGCCTGAGCTAATGTTGTTCGGAAGGAGGACTGAGGGGAATTCAATCTGCGCGGAAATTTGTCAGCAAGGTGTGTTTGTTTGCTATTGATGTTCCGTAGAGTTGCAAGTCGTCGATATCTGGGGAGTAGGGAGCAGGCGACCAGGGGTTTGAGCTTACGAGTCGATTGTCTTGGGTGAGGAGCACCGCGACACCCGCGTCTACCTTGCCAACGGTCAAGGAAACCAACATAGCGAGGATGAAAGAGGGGGAAGTTTAGGATAAGTGGTGGTGGTTGTCAAGTGAGTCTTTAGCCTAGACCCTCGGGTCGTTGATTCCGCCAGATCGGCATTTAGCGAGATACAGGAAGCTAAGATACTCGCGCTTCTATATTTCATTCTGTGCCTCGGAGCCAACAATCATTTATTTCCAAAATTGAGAGCATAATGAATGGAAAGAATAAGAGTTGAGATGATTTGAATCTCAGATACAAACTAATTTTCCCCAAACGCCATGATCGCAAGGTCGCCCAGATGATGTACAGCAACAGTCGAACAGCCGACTGCTAGTATTATACAAGATGTTATGGTAATATACATTGAATCTCACGGGGTCGCACGATGTTGTCAACTTGCCCGCGCTTCACCTTTCAAGTGTGGCTCATCGACAATAGGTTATTTCCGTGGTGATTCGTGATCCAGAAGCAAGGATATTAGATGATGTGCATCCTTCTGGACTCTCTCGAAGTCATCTGTCACACACGGCGGCTGAATGTAGATGTCCATGGTTCCTGACAATTTTTTCCTCAAAGGAGACTCAGAAACGAGCGGGTTCCCCACCTTATCCAATCCTTGCTGTCTCAAAGCCTGCTCGACAGCGATTCGTACTCTGCGCGCGCACCAGGAGCGAACCACCCGCTTGCTTTGCTGGAGCTGTGTCACCGAAACCCGCCACCATAATGTGTTTCTTTCACGATGTCCGCAGAGATCGACAATTTTGGGCCGGATCGGATGGGTAGGGGAATTCAGGTAGCGTGCGGCAACAGGAGGGGTGCTGCATTTGGGCCAATACCGAAGCACCAAGCTTTTTGTAGACGTGACAAATTTCACCGCCATGGTAAAAAAGGTCTATCAGCGGTCGTAAGGCTGGTTTTGGCTGCGAAATATAAGGAGGGTCGTAGGACATTGATATCATGTCGGATTGAACACCAATGTTCATTAGACAGAGCTGGCGAAGGCTTATGGACACCTCGAAGGGACAATTGGAGGTTCAAGATAAAGGTTCAAAGAGAGATATCATCGAGTCACCAAGCAGAGAATCACAAATTATGGTGAATGTACTCGGGAGGCGCCTCTTTCGAGATTGCGTAGATCGAGTAACAGTCTCGTGCTTACTAGTCAGGAAGGCCGCACGGAGGGCAAGACAGCTGTAATTGAAATGGATACTCGGACCCTTAGCAGATCTGACAACACATCGTATCGCAAGGCCTCAGAGGACTCCTCAGAAATGCCCTTGCAAACTTCCGACCTTGACATTGTTTCATTCTCGCCTCATCTTTTTCTGCCAATCAAACCAGGCGGTCAAAATTTACCCCGAGACCAGGCATCAAGGCAGAAATCTGCCGTAAGCGGGGGCGAAATTGCTGTGACGCCACTGGGCAGCCAGTGCCTGATTATATAATAAAAAAGATTTGAATATATCAGTGCGCAGAACCCCCACCTCCTTCTTTCTTCAACTCTCACTTCTCTAATCAACTTTCGATTAGGCCTCTTCAGATCTTCGTTGATCTAAGGAAAAAATCTGCCCCAGAGAGACTTGACCAGGTGAAAGGTCACAAAAACCGTCATGCCCAAGAATAAGGGAAAGGTAAGCTCGCAAAATATCCCCTCCTGTTGATGATAATTTCCTTGCCACATCCACCGGCTCCCGCGCAAGGGTAGCCACCTACCCCTCGAGGCGACTTTTCGGACTTGTGGAAGATTTTTTTTCTTCGAAGCCAATATTACTTCATGTGACATATGCTGACAACCAAATATAGGGCGGTAAGAACCGTCGTCGCGGCAAGAACGAGAACGATAATGAGAAGCGTGAACTCGTCTTCAAGGAGGAGGGCCAGGAGTACGCTCAGGTCGTGAAGATGCTGGGCAACGGTCGTCTAGAGGCACTCTGCTTCGACGGCGAGAAGCGTCTGGCCCACATCCGTGGCAAGCTCCGCAAGAAGGTCTGGATCAACCAGGGTGATATCATTCTCCTCTCGCTCCGCGACTACCAGGACGAGAAAGGTGATGTTATCATGAAGTACACCGCCGACGAGGCCCGTTCTCTGAAGGCCTACGGCGAGCTGCCCGAGCACGCTAAAATCAACGAGACCGATACCTACGGCGGTGAAGGCTTGGACGACAACGTCGAGTTCGACGAGGACCGCGAAAGCGAAGACGAGAAGGAGATCGATGTCGACGAGCTCTAAGCTCATCCCTGCCACTCCCAGAGTTCGATGCTCTGCCCTGCAAGAATACCCTGGATACATCCCCCCTCGGTATTCTCCATGTTCGCCACATCCCTCTCCTCCTACTCGCCGCCGTTGGCACAGTGCCGTCACTCATCTGCTCCGAAACTGCCTTTGACTTTGACTACTTGCCACGCGAGGCACTTTCGACATCCGATTCCCTCTGTACATTCGTTTGAACGGAACAAGAGCATCAATCTCCTCCCAGCCTACGACGCTGCTCCTCAACTCGGCTTGCATGAGGATAGGGACACACCTCCATACTGGCGCTACTGCGACAACTTTTACGGGCTTAAAGCCATCGAACAGAGGACCCTCGGTGTTTGTCCATTGGCGATTTTGGATTCTCCGGGGATGGATGGATCCTCGATACCATTTTTGTCCTTTTTGCAAATATCTAGGGACCATGACAGAGACTAAAATGATTGCTATGCACACATCATGAACCTGTGTGCTTGTTTTCCTGCATTGCATTGCATGCGGTGTGTTCACTCTGCTCAGCCTCGACTTGCTTTTCTTTCCGTTCTTTTATGATAGAGTCATGAAATGGGCCACGAGAATTGAAAATATCATTTTTAGAACACATGCTTTCCTTAGTAAACAGACAAATCGACCTTCGAAGTGAATTATCGTAACTAAACTCCAGCCACCTATGAAATTTCAGCCCATGTCGTGTACAGGCTGGGCATATAGATGTGTTTACGTACGATTTCAATCTAATTACTAGCATTCTATGAATCCATGTCCTTCTGCTGAAACGTCCATCAGATCAGAAATCCAAACTACCCTTCCCCTTAGTCGATCCCTCGACACACTGCCCACTCCCGAACATAGCCTTCGCCGCAGCCTGCCAAACGGTCTCCCTTTCCAAATAGTTATCCGTTGTATAGAATAGGCGACATTCAGCAGCTTCATAAACAAACTGCAGCGGTGTCTGGTCATCCTCTGGGTCATACTCATTCCGCAAATTCAGGTTGCCACTCCACTGAAGCGATGCTGCCGTGCTCGGGCTGGACTCATTGAATGCCTTCCACTCGGCAGATGTCAGTAGTGGCGATCCACTGTTGGCCGAGTCTCTGATCAGGCCGTTCGCTTGCTCGATATATCCATTGATATAGTTGATCCCGAGTGACTGGCCGCCCTTGACGCCACCGACACCCTGCATGGGTGCCTTTTGTGGACGGCCGCCGAAGGTGATAGTACGGACGCCCTGGCGTTTCATCAGCTTGACGAAGAACGCGCAAGTTGAGACACAGTCGCCGTCTGTGATCTGTCGTTGGAGCTTGTGTTAGTGCTTTTCTCTTTTCTATATGGCTTCGTGGGAAACAATCACTTACAATAGCGATGTTTTCCGCCGAAAAGGGTGATTTGCTTGGGTTCAACGGAACCGGCCCGTAACCGTTGATGGGGAAGCTCTTTGAAGAGGTAGAGGTGTAGTTGAAGTTGGCTAGCAGGCTAGAAGCAGAGCTCCCTAGAATTTCGTGCGGCCCATAGAGATCCTCCCACGAGCTGAAGTCGGTTCTCTGGTCAGGCCGAACCATCTGCCGGTATGCAAAAACATTGCTTGTATCCGTGCTGTTGTCACGCGAGTATGCCTTTGTGAGGTATCTGGCTGCATCGTGTGCTCGGAACCGCGTTGCCGTGTATGGGGCAGCATTGGGGAAGAAGATACGAGACAGGTCGATGCCAATAGACATGTATCCACCGGGGTTGGATGAGAGGTCAATCAGGACGTTCTTCTTCCCAGATTCGGTGCTGTTTTGCAAGAAGTCAACCGCAATCTTAGAGACCTCTGATGCGCTGGATGAGAACGTGGGCAGAAAGATGATCGCTGTGTCCTCCAGCCCTGATATTTTGGAGTAATATCCAGCAATCGAATTAGCTGAGTTGCGCCAGGTAGTGCTGGGGAATCCTTCTATCTCGGAGGAGGCTTCCTCAGCGCCAGATGGGCTGCTCGAAGCTGTAGACAAGTCTCGAGGAAGGCACTCTATGTCGTATAGGTGCGTGCCGTTTTCATAAGAAAAGAACTTTTCGCTCGGTGTGGCCGTTTTCTGAATCGACTTTTCAGTGCCATTGCCAAACTTGAGGGACAGCCGAGCGCCATCAGTCCAGTCTCCAATGGAAGCCCATATTCCATTCACACCGGTAGGAGTGTTGGTGACGCTGCGGGCTGGCGCGGGGAATACTCGATTGTACCTGCGACAGTTAGTGTGATTCAATACCGTACTTGCATAAGGATACCTACTGTGCATCGCGATCCTGGAGGTTCTGACTACTGGCATATGATTCGAGGTACGTAGCCACGTTAGTGCCGTTGATGGACACCAGAGGCGAGACGGCGTCTGGGTCGACCTTCTGTAGTTTCGCATCACCTGGCATGTTAGTTCGAGATTTTGATACAGATATCGAGCTGAACATACCTAAAGCGTACACTTGAGGAAGTGCGAGCCCATCTGTCGAGATTGACACTAAAGGCATATCGATTTGATATGTGAAGATTGACTGCGAGCATAGCTGGAAGGCCAGGTGACCATCATGCGCCGTTTTGATAAGGCGGTTAATTTCCAAGTCCATCTCAAATTGGCTGGTATAGCTGTTGCTCTTGGCCTTGCTCATTATTGTATCGATTGCCTTCATGATATCCGTGGGGGGCATCGTATACCCAGAGGGGGGATCTAACAACACAAGTCAGCCAGGCTAAAAGATTCTCATGCGAATTCGTATCGCTTACGCTTCAAAATATCGATAGTTGACTGGAACTCAAGGACCTTTTGCACCTGAGTCAGGAAATCAACGGCACGGTCCGAGTCAAAGGGCATAGATAGCAGACACTGATGTGCCAGATCATGAGGCACAATGGCATTTGCTGCGACCGTTAGTTATCTGCCAATTGATGATTTCGATTTCATAACATACCCTGGTCTTGATTCGCGTCTTCCACCAACTTGCTAACCTGAGCACATGGCTCAACATCGCGTCTCCCGGCAGCACCGACAACAGCCGCCCAAGCGACCAGAGTCAACACAGTCTTGAAATGCATGTTGATAAGTTGAAGACGTCAGGGGCCTGCCATAATAATTCTGACCAAGGGACCCATTCACTTCTCCACTCTCTCTCAGGGGCCCTTGCTTTGGCTGTTGACTGGGGGCTGTTCTGTTTTTAGTTGATCTGCACGATCGTCGCCAAGACGGAAGAGATCTTATGGGGTCGGAGTACGGAGTAGACCACGTTCAAATTGACTCAGAGTTCACATGTGCAGATGTCTCAGCTGTTTGTTGCTTTTATTTGTTTTTGTCTGGCTGATTTGGGTAAAAATATGTACATGTATGGAGGTGTGATGGGACGATGTAGTTGTATTTGTTACACATTACCACATTTGTTGACGTATACAGCAGTTTTGTGAATTTATTTAATTTGCATCAAAGTCATGATTCGATTAAGAATGCACTGGTGACTCCAGGCCGAATCCTCCATTAATCAAATACGCTTTTCTGAAAGAAAGCAACTATCTTACGTGCAGCTTCTTTGCCAACCAATGGATCCAGCCGCTCGATATCCATATTCGCGATATCACTAATATTGTCCGTTTCGATGATCAGGCGCTCCAGAGCTTGGGGTGTAACACCCGGAACAGCTCGCAACATGTCTTGTGGAAGAAGATTGAAGGTACGGTGCTCAATCCCAGCGGCAGCCATGACGTCGGCAGAGTCAGACGAATTAGATATATCAATATCAAGGCCTAGCTGAACTGCGCGGAGTGGATCTGGTTCCGGGGAGTTCTTTTTGAGCTCTGCAAAAATTTCAGCTGTCTGGTAAGGTGATGAAGACCAGACGATCTTTAGGCGTGGGAAGGCGAGAGTAAGGAGCACCAGTAGATGCTGAGCGGACTTTGGATTAGACGGATTGGCAAGCGAGCTGCTGCTAGTGCTGGTTGCAGTACCGGAAGATGAGAAACCGTAGTCTGTCATAAACGTGGGCCCTGTTGGAACGGAGGCGAACGCATCAAAAGTGAAAGATTTGTTTTGATCAAACTCGATCAATAGTAACGGGCTCTTGTAATACTGGAGCATGGTTTCGGCCTGGTTGTACAGGCGGCCATTCTTGAGAGAGCTGATGAGATCACGGATCGATTTCCTTTCGACACAAATGTCAGGAGTGAGAATGTAATCACCCACGGTGAGCTGGCAGGGAATCACAATCATGTTGTTCCCATGCAACAGAGATGGTAGGGCACTTCGGAATTCGCGGACATCAACTACAACCCGAGGAGGGGATGCTGTAGCTGCCAGTCGTCCTCCTCCAGCAATACGAGTATTTACTGTCCGGAGGAATTGCTCCTGGGGGTCTTCAGCCTTTTTGTCGTGCGTCAAGGTGACTGCCATGTTCTGAAAATCACTTTAGCTAGCAATTTGAATTGTGTAGTCGGGGATCTTACCCCCTTCTCTTTGATCAGCTTTGTGAATGAGTCTTTCTCTCGTCGGACAGCACTCAGATACCGCTGTTCCTCGACAGAGCCACCATAATACATGAAGTACACCTTCACGTTTCGCCCTGAATGGGAACTGCGATATACCTCGACCCTTCGAATGAATGCGGGATCGGGTTCATACATGATAATGTATCGTGGACGCACTTCCTCGAGTATATGCTCATCCATGTCACCGTCGTAAGGGTGTATCATGACTAGATCGTTCATATCATACAATTCGTAGAAATCTTCCATGTCCTCCAGTTCATCAAGAATAACCTCCTGTTTCTGCTTTTCTTCCACCTCGGTGGGCTGAATCTCACTTAGCAAGCTGACAACCTGACCGGGCAATTCAACTTCGGTTTGGACACTGCTATTTGGCACACGACCTGCAGCCGAGGTGACCGCGCCGCCGCCACGTACTCGACGACGCTTGTTTGGCGGAGGCCGCCCATGATGCGCACTCTGGCCTGCTGGTGACTCAGGAGGTTTTCCAGACCTGTCGTCTTCTCCTGACTGGGACAAATTTCTGTTGACATTTGAAAGAGACCTCTTCCAATTAAGGTACTCTCGCAGCCGACGGCGCATCATAAGCTCCGCAGAAGGCTTGTCATCGCTCGGATCATCATCTCCTTTGGATTCGGATGCTTGAGCAACTTTGGCATGCATGGTGCCAATGTACTCACGAAGCTGGCGGCATACTCGTTGATCACCGCACATAATCAATATGGTACTATTTGATTGATCCATTCGCACAGGATGGAGGTAAGCGTCATGTTCGATTTCCGCAAGGACATCTGATAAGACACTCCACTTTGGGAGTTCCTCTAGGGCTGGGTTTAACTCAGAAGAAAATGTAGTTGAAGATGAGAGGCGGGTCAGTTCGTTGTTCAATTTGCCTTCGTAGACTCGCGATTTGGCTGTCTGGAAAAGAACATGGGCAGCATCAAGGAAAAGCCACGGAGAGTAACTATGTCTGCTGGATCCGGGAGGCGGAGCATGCGCAGACACGATAGTATCAAGGTACTTAACAAAAGATACCGCATCGTAGCTGAGCAGAGCACTGCAGAACTGTTAATATAGATAAGCGGAAAGACATATGGGAGACACACTGAAGGACTGCTCGTAGGTCTGTCAGGTCGCTGACGATTTGTCTTGTCCTAAAGCTCACACGGTGCCAGATCGGGTCAAGTTGACGCCTGATAATCATATCAAAGTTCCTGTGCAAAGCACTGTCTAACGTCCACTCTTCCATATCCAGGCCGGTGTTACTCTTCCTGAGCTCAGTGATACTGATCTCTACACATTCCAGAACAGCATTCTGAATTTCCCTCATTTTGTCACTCATGGGAACTTCCAACTCGATCACTTCTGCCTTGCGATTTCCTTCTAGAGACTCGGCAACAGAAACGTGGAACCTAGGCCATAGTGAGGCCTTGCCTAGGAAAAGGTTCCGCAGCATATTGGCCAACGGCGCAAACCCCGTGGTGAATGGCTCCGGAGAGTCTGAGAATGCTTTCAAGAAGCCATGCTTGTTCGATTGCCGGTAAACCCGAACAATAAATGATTCGAGGGACGTCGCCAAAACCTTATCAGCATGCAAAATGACCATCCCAGTGACTTTTTCGGGATCGAGAAGTTCTAGAAGGATCAGCGAGTGTCTTGAGCCATTACGTCAGATACACATACTCGATAACAAATCCACAACCAAGATTCTGGATGTCACGCTCAGAATACCCCCTTCGCCGTACATTCTCTCTCTGGCGATTTGTTAATACACCGCAATCGACATGGCAGAACGAGAAACCCACCGCATCGGCACCGTAGCTTTCTCGGTATTGATCACTTTTAACCCCCTAGCAAGAGGAGACTTGCTGGTAGCGTAATGCTCCGCCAATGCTGGTTTCCGGATCCATCAGCTTCCCACACCGACGAATGACTTAGGATGTAAACCAATCCACATACCCTCTCCGATCCATTCATTCTCGCGTTCATCTGCACCCACAACCAGGACCAGATTGTTTCCCGCTGCATCGTAAAAATGGAGGAGGTTCGATATTAGGTGTAGAAGCCCTAGGCCTCGTGCAAGGATGACTAGCTCATCCTCGGCGCGTAGTTCGGTGAAAAGCTCCTGCTGGTATTGCTTACTGGGGGTTAGCAGTACGCCTGCGCCTGGTTAATAGAATACTTACCAGTGGCAGGGACAGCTTCACCGGCACGTTAGACCGTTCTGGAGGCATTGGGAGCACTTCCTAACGCGTCCACAGTGAGGGGTCCGGTCAACGAGATGTCGCGCGATCACGTGTGCTATGATGAATGACGTAATGGAGTGAACTCACCCACGAATACGAGTCCCTTAGTTGGAAGTATACGCAGCTTCGAAAGAACGTGAATCCCAAATGGCAGAATTATTCTATTTTCTGTCTTGTCTGTTTAATAATTCTCAAGCGGCTACTCTCCGTATGTTGGTGATCGACCTAGTTTGGGTCATGACCCACTTATAGGTACACTCGACAAGGACAAGTTGCCTTGAACGGCAGAAACTGGTATGGAATTAAGTACAGATAGATAAGGATTGTTGATCAACGGTCTCTTAGTTGGATGACTTGTTCAGTTCCTTCGCGCGTGCCTCGAGCTCCTCTTTCGAAGCCTTAGGAGGCATTTCTACAAAGTGTCAGTCACGAGCCTGTGTAGATCTAGTAGTCAACTTACTGTCTGGAATCTGAGGTCCCTTAGACAAGAAGTCCGCTGCAGTCGCTTTCTGGGGTTGCTGCCCTGGTGTCTTCTCGGCCTCATTTCCTCCCTTTTGGGGGGCAGAAGGGAAGTCCGACGATTCGGGGATGACCGGCATTTTGTAGAGGTAGAAGAGTCTCTTGTTGAGTTCTCACTAGCTAATTCTAGCTCTTGTTCACTGGTAGATAGATCAAATAAACCCGGTAATTCGTTGGTGGTGAGTTGAAGAAACGGTCTTGAAGGTTGGTTGTCTGCTTTATAGATCTCAAGCGGGATGACGTCGGTGGTCGGTCGGGTTGCAACGAATAGCATGATATAGTTGCCTGAACACGTTCCCTTCCACAAGAAACAAGAAAGAATACAAATGCAATCTATCTATAATTTGTTGATTACGTTTAGTGGATACACCGGCCCCGGGGGTGCAAGGAGCACAATTAGGCCTAGTAGATACGTATGTATAATTTGATTAAAACGACTTCAAGGTATAACCAAAATATGCCGGGTTGGAAGGCACGCAATTGCTTTTCATTCAAAAGGTAGATACTACGTAGCATTCTACCTAAGTTGCAAGAAGTATGATCCATATGTAGTCGAATAGGTAAGTACGATTACTGTGTAGTCAAAAGCGTACTCCTGAGGTCTTTCAACACATTTTATACACCCACCTATTCCTAGTCAGCCATGGTCATCTTCAACTAGTTATGATTATAAAACGTCCATTGGAAATAGGCACGCTAACCGCAGCCCGTGGACAATTCTCGTCACTCATGAAGAACATGTCAATAATGTTCTATCAATTCGTATTTTCCAGATCTGAAATATCAAATACCAAACAGAAAGAATCCTAAATAAGAATGTTGTGACCGTTAGCCACACTTTAAATAGTACTAGAAAAGTACCACGTGCCGGTATGGCGGTGCTGCGGTAGGCCTAGGTCACTCCGGTGTATTGCGCCCCGCCTACGCCTTCTCACCTCCGATTCATCCTCTCCATCTCTCAAGGCAACCGCCGGTCGGCTCCTCTCTAACACCCCGGTCTTCGAATTTAATCAATCGATCACAAAAGACTCTGTACCTTCGCCACTGCCGTATCAGTCGGTGTGTTGAGGGCGCTATTCCATCATTCGAAGATACCCGCCCGGCTGCAATGTGTGCTCTCCTCACGTAACCACCCTTCGAACTATCACCTTTCCCCTTTCCATTTAGTGGGGGACCACCTCGATTCACCATGCCCTCCATACTCAGTGACGCCGACAAGGAAACTGTTAAGCGGAATGTCCCTAAACCTGCCAACAAGATCCTCGCCGTAGCTGTCGCGCGACTTTACGTCGCCTACCCGGATGGACAGAAATGGACATATACCGGAATTCAAGGGGCTGCTGTCCTCTGCAATGACCTTGTTGGAAGGACTTTTTGGCTTAAAATAGTCGATGTCTCGGTAGGCGGTCCATACTGGTGTTGGATATAAGAGTAGAAATGCTGACAATGCATTGTTTTATGAAGCCCGCTGGCAGGGGCGTGATCTGGGATCAGGAGCTCTATGACAACTTCGCTTACAACCAGGACCGAACCTTCTTTCATACATTCGAGCTCGAAGCCTGTCCCGCCGGCCTGTCCTTTGTCGACGAGAAGGAGGCCAAGACTTTTATCAAGAAGGTGCATGAGCGCGAGAAACATGCAAGTAAAGAGACAACCAAGACTCCTTTCGCATCTACTCGAGGCCAGGGACCTGCCCCCGTTACCAATGGGAAGGTGGGACGGTCTTTGTTTGGCAGCTTGTTGCATCGTTCGAGTCCAGCTCCAAGTGCACCCCCGCCAACAGCACCTGCGCCTTCAATACAGGTTGCTCCTCCACCTCCGACAGTGTCCCCGAGCGCGCCACCAGCTAAGCCAGATTTACCATTTGATACGAGTGACCCCTCTTGGAAAGGATTGCTGGATGAGCTTAAGGGGATGGGAATTACCGAAGACCAAATCGCCGAGAATTCTGAATTCATCAAAGCTTGGATTGACCAGAAGCAGGCGGCGGCGGACGAGTCTGCTCCTGCTGAGGATCAGAATAAGCCGAAGGCAGCTCCTCCACCGCCACCTTCGGCACCTCCCGCCCCGAAAGTAACCTCGATCAGTCCTCAAGATACAGGTTCCAGCTCGACAAGCAGACGGGGACCGCCGCCGCCGCCTCCGTCTCGGAAAACACGTTCTGAAGCACCAGAAGAACCGGTTTCCCTCCCCCCTCGTGAGCCATCTCCACCTGCTCGAAGGTTCAATGCGCCGCCTCCACTTGCAGACGCAGGAAAGTTCGCCGAGCCCGCCGGCCCTGTACCTCCGCGGCGTCCACGCGCAACTTCGAACGTCAATGCTGGGCCTCCGCCGCCCCCACGACCACCAAAGACACCGATGGACGATAGTCATAATGTTCAATCGAGTCAATCTCGATTTGGAGTACCACCACCTTTCTCTGGTGATCGCAAGGTATCTGCGCCACCGGCACCCCCCAGCCGTAGCCCTGCACCAGGTGGCCCTCCCCCTCCGCCGCCTCGCACAGCGAGCCCAGCAGCACCACCCCAACTGCCGCCCAAAGTGCCGCCCATGGGCACTACAACCGGACCTCCTCCTCCACCCGCCAGAGGCCCCATTTCACCCCCACTTCCACCCCCACCAGCGCCTCGCCCCGTGCCAGCTGCACCGTCTTCTCCTGCAGCAGCTCCTCCCCCTCCACCAAGAGGACCAATACCGCCTCCTCCCGCCCCGCCCTCGGCACCTACGTATTCTCCTAGCGTTCCTCCACCACCGCCTCCGCCGCCTGGCGCTGCAGCACCCGGTGGCCCCCCGCCCCCTCCGCCTCCGGCTCGTGGTGGCCCCTCAATGCCTCCCCCTCCTCCTCCCCCTCCCCCGGCACCTGTTTCGCGGGCACCAGGTGGACCACCGCCGCCACCTCCACCGCCTGGGGCGCCTGGAGGTGGTGCTCCTCCTCCGCCTCCACCCCCTGGTGGTGCTGCACCACCCTTGCCAAGGCCCACCGGTGGGCGCAACGATCTGCTAGCGTCCATTCGAGCTTCTGGTGGCCACGGAGGCGGAGGCTTGCGCAAGGTCAAGGATACCGAAAAGAACGATCGAAGTCAAGCCATGGTACCCGGTGGTGCTAACGAGTCTTCAGCTACAAGCCCCAATGCAGGAGGCGCCCCGCAAGGTGGTTTGGCCGGCGCATTGCAAGATGCTCTCAACAAGCGAAAACAGAGAGTCAGCGGAAGTGGTATGCTAATCCCAACACGTAAACGCGGATCTATATGCTAACTATTTTGATAGATGACGAGAAAGACAACGACGACGATTGGTGAACAGTTAGTTTTCGGTGGGATTGTTTAAGTATTTCAAGATACCAATGGCTTTTGCGCATTCTTGCGAGCATTGAGCATTTTGTTCCTTTGTCTAGCGTTTTGCCTAAAAATTTGGCTTCAGGTGTTAACAAAAGAGGGGCAATGCACATTGTATATAGCTTTCAATGGTAGATTCAGTGGATGCAAGACATAGTCTCAGCCCGAGGAAGTAGATGGCTTTTCTCTTTTCGATTCTCTGTCTTAGTCCAATGCTAGCAGGGGCCTACATGTCCATGCTGATGCCCAAGTGGAGTTTAGCTTGCACCGCCACCATAAATACTAAGCCCATCCATTCATCCGTGCAAGGGCCTCTAGGGCTGGACATAACTCCCCGGATATCGATAACTTTTACTGCTATCTCCAAGACTGTCCCTGTAGCAGAGTCACCGGTTGCGAGTTTCGCTTTAAGAATACCGCTTTTAATCCGAGATGAAGATTGATCCTCCATCTCTTGGGTCTCTGCCCGTTGAAATCCTGTGTTCAATCTTCCGCCTCTTGGACCCATCAGCCAAACGAACTCCAAATTCCGCACAGTGGTTCAGCCACGACGAACCCATTTACTGGAGAGGTTGCTTGAACTTGAATGCCGAGAAGAAGTCGGAGGAGTCGCCCCGGTCTTTCGATCGAAGGACAACCACCTCGAACCTGATTTCACGTCAAAAGAATGGTATGATATGCGCTGGGCTTGTAGTATCTGTCTCCAGATGCTTCCACATACAGCCTTCGACAACCACTACATTCTACGACTGCAGTACCGCAAGCCATTGCCGGGATCCCCGGCGGCGAGTTCTTACACGAGCTGGGAGCCAACAAGAGATGGGAAACTTCGCAAACCGTACCATCCACACAAACAACAATTCAACTCCAAGGATGAGGATGAGGATCAGAAAATACGGCATCGATATAATCTCGCATCTAGGTGCAACACATTAAGATCGAACCATCCTGTGCGCGATAGGGGCGCAAGATTGGCCAGCTTTGAAGACAGCGGGATGATCACATTCCAAGGCCTTAGTCTGGACGAATACTGCAGTATTACACAAGAGGAAGAGCAGGTTCTTCTGGACCATGAAGCACGCCTCATTGAGAGGGAGCGTTGCGGCTTCAAGCGACACTTGCGCAAGTGCAACGAATGTCGTTTCCGGCGTGATGAGCTCTCATCTATCGTGCAGCGAGGCACAGACAAGGTACCTATATTGCGGAGCCGTCGTCTGCCATTTGCCAGTGCCTTGGACCGATATTTCCCAGATGTTTCTGCTATAATGAAAAGTGTGAGCCCAACCGCGAATGCTCCAGTTCAATGTGTGTATCGCAACAACGTTTTTGATTCTCTCTGGACTATGTATATGGTGCGATGCCCTGGGTGTTCGCGCTGGCAGGAATCGCGTGCGTTTCGTCTTGGTGCCGCTTTCAATCACTGGACACCTACCACCGACTCTTCCTCGGAGTTCCAAAACTGGGACGAAACTAAAATCACCGGAAGTTTCATTGATGGTTTGTCCTGTAACCATTTTTTTGCTAAAGGTCAGGGGCGCGAAAAGCTTCGTGAAGTACTTGTGCAATGGTTGGACCGCTGCTTGGATAACGAGCGACAGCGGCTAGGATATCTGCTTTTGAGTGGCTGGGAGACGCTGTTGGGGCGACACCGGCGGCTTGAGCAGGTAAGCGGCATATTTGAGGCTAACATTTTCTATTTGACATTGAGCTTGTTGTTGCGAAAGTCCGGAAATATCAAGACTATCTCAGGATTCACCTCGGCGATATCTTGACATTGAAGATGGGCTTTCGTAAGTGGGTTACCGTGTGGGAGAGCTTAGATTCCGAAGAGCGTTACTTTAATTACAACCCCGCCGATGTTCTGTGGTTCAATAACTATGGGCTGATTGAGGCACACTTGATCTGGGTGATGGAATGCAAAAGGGAGATAATGGAGAAGAGCAAGGGTGATGACCTGGTTGACTGGGTACTGAGCCGAGAAGTAAGTGCTTTGACTTAGGCAATTGGTATCAATACCTATATAGAATCACTGTTTCAAATCTCGGAGTACAAGGCATTTGAGAAACAGTTAGCGGTGTTTTCATAGTTCTACAACAGTTGTATAGTTCTGGTTCTCGGGTCAACATTGTTCCGGGAAACGGGAAAAAAGCGTATCTGATCTGATCGGGAGAACTTGCGATACAGCTCGGTCGATAATCCAGAGACATGCTGTCTCCCAGGCTGTCTGCGCCTTCAGCATCTTTATTGCGCTTCCTACGGTCACAGTCTGGGTTCTTAACCGCACCATCAGCATGCGCTTATCCGAAGCGTCTTGCTAGCCGCGATAAAGGCTTCTCGACAGGACCATCCCCGAAACTCTCAAGCTGGGCGCGTCTCGATGCTCCCCATAGCCCTGCAACACTTGACACAGTACTACGCAGCACTCAATATGGAAAATCAACCCCCACCAGAGCAACAGTGTCGCCGCCCTTGGCGCCTACGCAGCTGAAATTGTCCCGTCATGCATCAACCAAAAGCCGACCTTTTCTCCGACGGCTGTTTGATCTCAAGCGGAATAAAGCTTCCGACTACAAGAATCAAGGCCCCGCTGGCCCTGGGCTTATGGATGAAGGGACGGAGGGAATGTTCAATATTGGCCGCAGCCTATCAGCTAAGGCGTCAAATGAGCTGCGAATTCGATGCACAGAGTTTGATATCAATGGAGACGTCACGCTCGTGAACGGAGAGTTCCGGAAGCAGGAGCTGATTGCAAAGGTTGGTAAAGAGGACTCGGGTTCGAGTTCAACTTTGGCTAACCCGTGAATCACGATGCAGTATGGCCTTCTTCCTCGAGATCTGCGCAAGATTGATTCGTCGACTCTCCCTCATATCCTAGTGCGACCTAGCGCAATTCTCATCAATCTTTTGCATCTGCGAGTTCTCATTAAAGCGGACCGGGTACTCGTATTCGACGCGTACGGATCAACAGACTCATATATGCAGTCGCTGTTCATCTATGATCTAGAAGGAAAGCTCCGCCAGAGACAATCCCAGGGTGCTGCTCAGCCTAGTCAATCGCTGCCGTACGAGTTTCGCGCGCTGGAAGCCGTTCTCATTAGTGTCACGAGTGGCCTGGAGGAGGAGTTTAATGGAGTGAGAGATCCCGTCGTGCGGGTTCTTCGTGCACTGGAGGAGGACATCGACCGAGATAAGCTGCGGCACCTCCTGATCTACTCCAAGAAGCTGGGTACATTTGAGCAGAAAGCTCGCCTGGTACGAGACGCTATTGATGATCTACTGGAGGCCGATGACGATTTGGCAGCAATGTACTTGACTGAGAGATCGGTCGGCAAAGAGCGAGAAGAGGATGACCATCAAGAAGTGGAAATGCTTCTGGAGTCATATCACAAAGTGTGTGATGAGATTGTTCAGGCCAGTGGCAATTTGGTGACGAATATTCGCAATACGGAAGAAGTGTAAGTTTGATCACTCATTATATGCGGAAAGCACACCTAACACAACTCAGAGTCAAGGCTATTCTCGACGCCAACCGCAACTCGCTCATGCTCATGGATCTCAAATTTAGCATTGGAACACTCGGCCTCGCAACAGGGACATTATTTTCTGCTCTCTACGGCATGAACTTGAAGAATTTCATTGAAGAATCAGACTTCGGATTCGGCGGTGTCTCCGTGATCTGCTTTGCTCTGACTGGTATCGTCTGTGTCTACGGTCTCGCCAAACTGCGCAAGCTTCAACGGGTCCGCATGTGGGGTGAATCCGGCATGGGAGGCTCCACTTTCGCTCCCCTCTCCCCAAAGCGCAGCGCACTCGGTGGAAATCGCAATAACTGGCGTGCCGATTCAATCGAACCGGTCTGGGGCAGTCTGCCAGGGGAAGGCCGGCCTGAGCGCCTGAGACGTCTCAAAGAAAATGCAGCTGCAGCTGCCGCTCAAGCTGCCTCGAGGAACTCAAAATCGACACCTGCCAATTCCCAGGCTGCTATGCAGGCATCAGCTACGGCCTCTAACAATGCTCGTGCGGAAAAGGGCAACGATCATGGGAAAGAGACCGTCTGCCCCGAAGGTCATATTAAGCCTATTGCATGATACGCAGTGATTGAAGTATGTCTGACGGTTTGATTGCGTTGTGACGGGAGCCCAGGCGTTTTGATTTGGATCTTCAGCTAATAAAGGGGTCGGAGAGGTCTGTAACATTATTGTACATTAACACACTCATTTCTCTATTCCCCCGCTCTATGTTTTGTATTTTGCTTCGATGTGAATAGATCTAGAGCATATTTGATGACTTATCAATACCATTCGTCTCTACCTAGGTAATTGTCATTTTCCTTGGCAACCTATTAAGATTTCCATGCGATATACCTGTCAACACCCATGTGCTTAGCTCCGGGGTTTCTTTTGGATCTTAATTATACGGCTATGTGAAGTTATTCTTTTCTCGCTAATGATTGAGTCGGCCCTACCAAGGAGTTGTTGGCTTCGAGGTTCCCTCAAGTCAATGAGTATGACGTCTTTTTGGAGGGTTTTAGTTGCCAATGTCTAGCTCCTTCCGGACTTGGAACACTATCTTTAGGGCGTTGTTGCTGGATTCTACATACTTTGTGCTCTTGCTCAAGGATATTGGGTTGATGACCAGGAGGATTGGGCTCATTTTTTGATATTAGCCCGTTTACCAGAAAGGTACATGAATCACGAATGGTAGGGCAACAGGAAAGTTACAGTCACCTATGAATGCTATTGAATGGTTATTATCTCCATTTGGGTATCTTTATTTAGCTTGGTGCACAATCCCCTGTCCCTGGTGAAGACTCTTCGTCCGTTCAACCCAGAGCTTAGCAGCTACCTGGATGCCACCATCTTTGGAGCATTCACGCTCAACCACCTCCATGATCTTCTTCAAAACAGCATCTGCTTGGTCCCGTTCCATTGGAGAATCTCCAGAACCCGAATTCTTCGGCCATCCTCTTGTGACCTGCTGTCGACCTCCAATCAACGCCATGTTAATCGCACCCGGGGTGCGTAGCCATGTCTTCTCGACATCGAACCCAATTTCCTCGGCAATACTCATTGTTTTTGCGGCGAGAGATCCAATCATTGAATTCAGAAACCCGCTTTCGGTCTTCTCTTGGACCTTCATTGCACGAAGTGCCCTCAAGTCACCAGACGCAGGCTGTAAATTCTGCTCTATGGCATCATCGGCTTTCCTGGCCGCGGGTCTTCCATCCGGACTCTCCTGTATTGGAGCACCCTCTTTTGGCGGAGGATATCGATACGAAGAACCAGCAAGCGAACGAGAACAGCACGGAACCACGAAGAACGGCAATGGTGACGAGGGACTTGATAGGGCAGCCATTATAGGAGTCCATACGGTGAGCTCATCTGCATGGTCGGATATGACGAATGTATTATCCGGGAAATCGCCGGTGTGTATCTCCACCCTAATTTTTTGCAAGTCCAGTACATCCACAAAAGGCCGAGGGATGAAAATTCTCTCTTCCAGGCATTTCTGTATCTCGACTGGAAATGTATCCCAGGACTTTCGACGACAGGCGTCAAAGCCTAAGCCCTTGTATCCTTCCATGAGAAGTACGTACACGAGGATACCATTCCCACAAGCCAGGTCCACGAACCCTGGGAACGGCGCTGTCTTTTCCGATGATTGGTCTTGTTCTTGTTCTGTTGCCGGTCGAACGCCGTACATGCTCCTCCACAGTTCAATCAGACATGCAGCGAGAGACAGCTGCTCCAGGGCTTGGTTGGGTGATTCAAGTTGTTCAACCCAATTCTGGCGCAACTTTTCTGCATGCTGGAGTTTGAGCCGGGCGAATGTGTTTTGAATGAGATGTGCCGAGGCAGTGTCCCCACCTTGATCACCTCGCTCAACCCAATCCAGGCTCACGTTCCTAGATGTGAGTCGGCGTTCCATATTGCCGTTTTAGATGAGCAAATACGACCGAGAGTTTCCGCGGACTGCTCTCTCAGGGGCTGGATGGCTTCCTCGATGGCTCGTTTGGTCAGGCAATTTGCTGTCGACGGTTTAATTGAATGGTGGTGTATCAAAGCATATTGTGCGAAGGAAATGTTGGCATGGATATTATTATTTGCTGGCAGAATATTCGACTTGATGCAAAGACTACAAACAAGGCGGAGAGAAAGGCGGCGGACTCCATCTATAGAAGCATTGAATTGGAGGACAGAAAGAGGGTAACTGAGTGTATAATCTGTAGTCAAATGAGTATTCCTAGCCTGGTCAACATAGCCTTGAAGTTATAACAAACGATAGAGGATCATTGTCATACAGCAAGTTGCGATTGGAACGAAACAAGAACTCTGAAGCTTGTTATAGATGTATGCAAAATATCAGTCCTGTAAGACGAATTGAAAAGTACATCAAGTGTAGTATTCCCTTAGTTCACGAACCTACGACCTCGCAAGATCTGCGTGTCAACCTGCGGTAAGACCCAACACAGCAGTCATCACTACGCAACCATAAAAAGCGACTATAAACACCTCAACCCCAGACCAAAAAGAAAAAGAATAAATTGTCTCACTCCATCGTCCAGTTCCATACCCGATCAACCAATCTAAAATGAAGCTGATTCAACAATCCCTCCTTGCCCTAACCCTCCTCCTCCCAGCGACCATCGCTGGCTACCCCACCTCAAGTCCTCCTACGGAAGAGCACCATGCCCACAGAAAACACGAGTGGACCTTTGACCTGTTTCACAACAAGCACTGCGTCGGCACTACAGTTAGCTACGCGGGGCAGGGATCAACGGGCTGCCGCACCAACCTCGAGAACGGAGGTGCGGAGGCTTTTATCAACGTCAATATCGATCGGAACTGTAAGGTGAAATTGTTCAGAGATAAGAAGTGTTCACGGCATGCGATGATCGAAGAGATCAAGGCTGGAACCGCTACAAAGTGCAAGCCTATCTCACGGAAGAAGACGGCCCACAGTTTTGAGGTGTCTTGTCGGTGATATCGTGACATGCTTTTGGGGTTGGCTATGTATTCAGCTAGGAGGGATATACCAAAATATAACATAATGTTTAATTTACCAAAGCCGAATAACTAATTGAAGCTTAGCTAAGCCCAACTGCGATATGCACATGTACAAACTTCGCAAACTTCCAAGGCTGCAGAAAAGGTGATAAGCCTGTTATCGGGGTGCATGACGCAAAGAGAGCCCTGATACTTGAACCGGATTCTCTCAGTCTTCACTCCTTTTTCCTTTCCTTTCACTATACTCAATTTAAATCATCATATACAATGGCTCCCCGATGCTTTATTATCCGCCACGGCGAGACAGAATGGTCGCTTAATGGCCGACACACCGGTCTCACCGATCTACCACTGACGGCTAATGGAGAGAAGCGCATTCAAGCAACAGGCAAAGCCCTCGTCGGAAACGACAGACTAGTTGTTCCCAAGAAGCTCGTTCATGTGTAAGAGATGACCCATCTAAGCTGTTGATCACTATTCCACTCCAAAGGCAACTAACACGCCGTTCTAGCTTTGTCTCACCCCGCGCCCGCGCCCAGCGCACCCTAGAGCTCCTCGAGCTTGGCTGCCGGGGCCAAGTGCCTTGGATCGAACTGGGGAAGCCTGAACACAAGGAGGCGATTCGGACCGAGGCCGAAATTGAGGTTACGGAGGCGATTAGAGAGTGGGATTACGGGGACTATGAGGGGTTGACGAGCAAGCAGATCCGCGAGCAGCGGGCTGAGAGGGGCGAGGGGCAGTGGAATATTTGGACCGATGGATGTCCCGGTGGAGAGTAAGTGGTTCTTTTCTTCGTTATCTTCTGATTCTAGGCCTCGCTTCCAGCTGCGTATTGAACATTGTTATGGTGCCATCTTCCCATGCTAACATTCCTTCCCCTCCTGCTAGATCCCCCGAGGATGTCGTTCGCCGCCTTGACGCACTGATCGACGAGATCAGGAACAAATACCAGCGTCCTTGTTTCGAGAACCCGGATGACCCCAAGGGCGATGTCCTTATTGTTGCGCACGGCCATATTCTGCGTGCTTTTGCCATGCGCTGGACTGGAAAGCCGTTGACGGAGACTTCACTGATTCTCGAGGCTGGTGGTATAGGCACACTCAGGTAAGACTCGGCCTTTAAGCAGAGAAAAATCCCTCATCTGCCGTATATGGAGCACAGCTAACATGACTGGAAAATAGTTATGAACACCATAACATCGATGAGCCAGCAATCATTCTCGGTGGTCAATTTGTGGTGGAGTAAGATAACACCTCAGTTGGATAGAGAGAACATAGGAGAAAGGTCATATCTCCGCTGCTAGATATTGGACATGTTAGCATAAGTCATGAAGCCATCACCCACAGCCCATTGTAAAGCACCGCAACCCAATCATGATCAATCCGACTCACCATATCAAATTAAATCAATACTCAATCATTCATAATTCATCAATTCAATCCTCCTCACTCTCCTCCCTCTTTATTCCCCCGTCTTCGGAATCGGCCTTCTTATCCTTATCCGCATTTCCCTTAACCCCTTCCTCTCCCAGAATCTTCGCAGACCCCATGAACAGCGCCCCAGAATACCCGCCTAGAAAACGCATGTCCCCCGCCTGCACAGCGGTCATGCGGAGTAGGTTCTCTGTGTCTGCGAGGTTGGCGTTGAGCTGTGCGAGCTGGGAATGGAGGTGGGCATATTGCCGCGATTTAGCCGCGGACATAGATGGGGTCGAGGCGTTGGGGTTGTAGTTGGTGGTGTATGTAGTGTTCGGGTTCGTGTTGAATGTGTGGGTTGCTGTTGTGTTGTAGTTGCCGCCCCCTGGGAGGATGGAGGGGCGGGAATAGGTAGTGTTTGACTCTTGACGGCGGTGGATTGGAGGTGGCATTTTGGGGGATGATCTGTTTTGGAAACTGACTGGATTGAGTGGGAAATATGGTGATGTTCGAGATTAATGTTGCTTGTTGACATGGATTGTTTACTATCAAGTAATCACGTGCCGATACAGAACTCTATTTTATACTCCAGAACATCCATGGATGCACTATGTGGGCGTTCGAATCTCTCATGTTGTTTATCAAACATATACTTGGAATGCAATAATCTGTAGCAACCTCAACGATATAACGGAAAGGTCTATCAATTCGTGAGCTCCTCGGAAGAATAAAGTGCCGTTCAAAAGGCGCAGCGAAACTGAACACTGCAGTGCACCCTTCATTAATTTTCTCAGCAAAGCGCGAACCCAGCAAGCAGATCAAGTCAACTCAATGAACCGAATAAATTCAACCCCCGCTCTTTTGGAATGCGCCAGAGACCAGACCACAAAATCAAAGACGAGGCCGGCATCAACCCAGTCGGATGAGAGACAAGGAAAAAGACATGACAAATGAAGGAAATACGCGGGGCGGAGCGAATGATGATAGAACAGACAAATGAAGACAATAGGCGTATACGAGTCTAGATGGGAGGGGAAAGGAATGCGCCAGCTGGTAATATACAATCATGCAGAGAGATGAAAAGGTAGGGAGGAGAGGCCGACGACGCTATATCGACATGCTGTAATGATGAAAAGGAGGTAGGAGGAAGAGAAACAGCAAGGATAAGGATGTCCCAGTCTAGGCTCGTGTAGTGGCCTCATTAAAAATCGATAATGCCGCGAAACAGGATGAGTATCGATGCAGAGCAAATCACACACAAGGAAATAAAGCACGCACGCACACCTCGTTATACCGACCACACTCCGAAACAGGAAAGGAAAAAATGAAAAATGAGCAACGAATACCCCTATGTCCCTCATGTATATGTAAAGAAGCGAACAGCCGAGTATTAACCTGTCCTTCGAGAGCACGGGACCGAAGAGTAAAGCCCCCGCATAATGACACCGTGATGCAAAAAGGTCCAAACATGACCAATTTTCGGCGGACGATGATCGTCCGCGCCGAGGAAGAATGCAATGCCGAAAAGGGAATTCAATCATGGAACGCCGGTCAGCCGTTGGGAAAAGCGGAGAGAAGCCGTTTCCTCTTAACGAACGGGCGCCGCGACCCCCTGGCCGCCGAGGCTGACCTGACTGCTGTGAGATGAGGGTTCGGAATCAATATTTGCACTGGCTCCACTATCACCACTCCCCGCGCTGGCGCTCGCACTTCCGGTCAGATTCTGGTTTTTAGGAGGACCCTTAGCGGGGAACGCGTTGCTCACCCCATAGTGTTGCTCAATTTGCTGCGGCCCTGCCGCGTTTCCTTGTCCCGGAGGATACCGCGGCACCGGCGTACGCATGTTACCAGGAGGCGATGGCTGGCCATTGTGAGGTCCACCAGGGGGGCCAAGACTGTGTTCACGCGCAATCGGAGGGCGGCCCATCCGGGGGGCTCCTGGGCCAGGGGGTCCATGAGGTCCCGGGGGTCCGCCGAATGGAATTATAGGAGTCTGGCTGTTTCGCCGGCTTTGTGCGAAGGGTCGAGGTGGGTAGTCGCCCATGTGACTGGCCGTTAAAGAATTGGCTCGAGAATCCACGTGCATCTGGTTTCGGTCAACAGCTCCATATCTGTTGGAAGAGTAGCTCATCATCGGGTTGTCCATGAGTGAATCATGGAGACCTGGGATTTCTTGCATCACGCGTTCGCTCGTGCGTTTTCTGCCAAAGTAGCGGTTGAAGGCTGATGAGGAAGGGCGGCTGCCTCCAGAGGGAGGAGTGTTTATACCGAATTCGGGGTTTTTACGCAACTGGCTGTGGCTGGGGCCCTTGCGCCCTCGGCGGGAAGTCATGCTCATCATATCGACACTGTCGGGGTCGATGTGAGGGATCGCCATGTTATCCATCGGGTCGAAATAGTCCTCGTCTTCTTCGTCAAAGGCCGTAGCGGGGCGGGAGGGAACCGGTCCACGACGTCCTGGGCCTGGGGGCCCTCGGCGCATGTTCATCTCTTGTTCACGCAGCTGCAGCTCGCGTTGACGAAGTGCCAGTTCTCGCTCCCTTAATGTCAATTCAGAAGCAGAGCCAGATGCTGGCTCGGGGTACCCATTTCCATTCTGATGCGGTACAGTTGGTTCACCCTGTTCGTCATAGACAACCAAATGGCTGAATTCTTCAAGTCCCTCCAATGATGGGTCACGCTGAACTCGGTTGGGAGGTGGCATCGGCATCGGTCCACCTGGGCCTCTCGGCATCATACCAGGGGGTGGGCCTCGTCTTTGTGGCGTGGGCATGCCCATGCCCGAGGGTGTTCGGCTTCCACGCATAGGTGGCGGGCCACCATTCATCATGGGTCGCTGCTGTGGAGGTGCGGAAGACAATCGGGGAGGCGGCTGACCCATGACGGATGCAGGTGGAGAATCCTGCCGGGGCTTGTTCTGGTTTGCGATATTGACGTGATGTAGCATGGCGTACATTGTTTCGATTCGGGGAATGCGAATATTGGACTCGATGGCCAACTTGATTGGTGACCCTAGGAAAGTTTCTACCTCCATAGGGCGTCGGCCCTGGAAGTCTGAGTACATTGTGGTCGGAGAGTCCAACGCGATCATTTTTTGGACCGTCTGATCCCGGAAATCGCTGGGGAATGAGCAACCTTGCGCAGAGGCCAGCTCCATCATCTCGTCAATGATGCCCATTACTAGTGGACGAACACCGGTTTTTTCGAGGAGTTGTGTATGGTTTGGGATTTCGAACACGACACTTGCGGGATGGAAGGCGATCGGGCTGGGAGACGTTTAGCATGCAAGTTTTAGATTCAAGCGAATCCGAAGGAACTCACCCTATCATTCGGTCGAACTGCTCCTGTCTGATATTATCCGAAACCTTGCAGTCAACTTGACCGGAGCTCAAAGTCATTGCTAATGCCGCTGCCATATCGCTCTGGATTGATGTCGGGATGGAGGAAGATTTGTTGGTCGCGCCCACGTAAATCTCGCTCGAGCTCAGATGTTCGAACTCGCTGGGGCCCGTTTGGGATATTTCCACGTTGGAAACAAGGGAAAGGATGACATTGGTAGGGTATCTTTGCTCGAGATGGGCTTCAATGCCGAGGGTATTTGTAGTATTCACCAGAATACAGGTGTGCTGGGGAGTGACGACGGATTCAATAACGGAGGCAAGGTCGTAGACATCCGGCAGGGCTTTCACGCAGAGGATGACATAGTCGTAGGCATTTTCACGGGATGAGGCTTCTTCGGGAGCACGAACAACTAGAAATCGGAACAGGTCAGCCGGGGTTCTGGCTAGGGCTCAGACCAAGTAGTGATATCCGGATCTCACCATGACGGGGTTTGAATCGTTCGTTGCCGAATGCTTTTGATCTGCGGAGGGAATTAGCCATCTGGCTGTGACACAAGAACCTGGACACATACTTAAACGAGACACCGTATTGAGACACAGCATCGAATCCGGATTTCCAGACCAGCGTAACGTCACAGGAAGTTGTCGCTTGAAGTCGCCATGAGAGAAAGGCAGAGATCGCATTGCCACCGACTACACAGACTCTAGTTAGACGACGAACCATCTTTTTTTGATAGACCCCCAGATGTTAAGATCTAAGTTGAAGTTGAACTCACCGGACAGGATGCGCAGACGTGGAGGAGGAGCCATCTCTCAAAATCTGGAAGGAACTGGGCGGGAAAGTCCCAGGTCGAAAGGTCCAGGTTCCCTATAACACGAGAGGAAAACGAGAGAATGGAGGAAAAGAGCGAAGGGTAAGTGAAGGAGAAAAGAGGGAAGAGGAAATGGGGGGACAAAAAAAAGGAAGGAGAGTTGTAATCAGGAAGGATGAAATTCGAATGGAAGTTTAGACCGGGGGGGAAGGAAAAGACAGGGTTGTCCACGTTCAGGTTTATTTTTGCCGTTTTAGTTATCTTCTCTTTTCCCTCTCTATTTCTCTTGACTTCACGCTTTAGGAGAGAAAAGAAAAGAGGGCAAAAACGATTGAAAGCGATCGGTCAACAAAATATCTTTTTATTTTTCTCCTTGATACTTGTAAGGCCTCAATGATCGTGGATCCCTCAGTCCGGAAACGGAAATCAATGAGCGATAAGAATATTTGATGGGAAAGAGATGGATGCAGACGTTCTTCTTCTTGTGCTTGATCTTCTTTCTTTTTCTCTCTTTCCGTCTATATTGTATCTTGGTTGATACACACTCTTGGGATCCGTTCTACTCCGTACATAGTAAGAGTCTAGCCTCCACCTCATCTGGCCATTTTGCGGCTCTCCAATATAACAATAGAGGAGACTTGAGCTCTTTCCTCATATCCTACATTGTAAATACTTAG